CTACTCTACTTCGAAAAAAGCAAGCGCCATGATGGAAAATTCAGCTATGTAACTAAACTACCATGATGCTTTGCGCATTCCGCAATTGGCTCATTAAAGAAAGAGTAATGTTAATTCTGTCGTAGTTGGATACCATGCTGTGAAGTAAGAGATGTACACTGAGTAAACTCACCAATTCGTATCATAGATAGTTGGTTTAATAATCATAAACATTGCAGTCCGCAAGAGCTGAATTGCGTCGTGTTACAAAGTTAAAAGTTAAAACTAACGCTTCAAGCTTGAACACAAATTGCAGCAAAACTTTGAAACGTACATGTTCGCAACCTTTTCGGCCTTAAGCGCTCTGACCTTAAACATGAAATAATACTCGATTCTCATTTAATCGAAATACCATGCCGAAAAAGGAACACGCGTGCATGCACCAAGCACCTAAGCAAGTTAAAAGACATTTTGAATAAAGTTTTTACTTTTAGACAGTCGTTGAAATCTTGTATTACGTTTTTGTGCTATTCAAATGAGTTAGTAAATGATTTTGCTTATATGCATAATTTTTTCATCGATTGCGAGAGGAAGATCGTCCTTTTCACCGGTTCCTGTGGCGGAGTTTCGAGACTGCAAGAGAACCAGATGTGTATGAGTTTCAACGCCTTCCATTCGGGAATACTTCATCGCCATTTTGTGCCCAACACGTACTGTATACGCACGTCCAAGCTCATGCCACAGAGCAGGGGCGTAGGAAGCACCTGGAGTTTGGGGGGGCACCGGCTTGTAGGGGCACATTACTATCGGAAAGGGCACCTAAAAAATTTTTCCCGGAAATGTTGTCGACGGGGGGAGGGGGGGGGGAGAAATTTCTCCTGAGGAAAATTTTCCGTCGTATCATACCGAAATTTATGTTTGTGACCTAATTTTTAAAAAAAATTTGTAAATTTCCACACAAAAACGGCACTTATTGTTTTAATTTAGTATTTACAGCGACATTAGCTTCTACAAAAGGGGCACTTTTCCTCACAAAAAAGGGCACTTTTCAACACAAAAAGGGCACTTTTTATCACAAAAAAGGGCACTTTTAGTCCTTTAAAAAAATTTGGGGGGGGCACGTGCCCCCCGTGCCCCCCGCTTCCTACGCCCCTGCCACAGAGTATCCAAATGCTGCCGAGACAGTCGACAACTCGATGTACGTGGACGACGTTCTCGATTCGTGTGAGACCACCCAAGAAGCCCAAGTTCTACAAAGTGAACTGTCGGTCGTCTTACGCAAAGCTGGTTTTAATCTTAGAAAATGGTTGTCTAACGAGCCATCTGTATTGAAAGATGTACCGTTTGAAGATAAATTGGCAAGTCTCCAAATCCAAGATGAGGATCTTCCTGCTCATAAAACGTTGGGAGTACTATGGAAAGCAGAAGATACATTCACATTTAAAGTCGACGTACCTGAGACCAAGGGAAACCCAACGAAGAGAAGCGTGTTGAGTGCTATCGCCGCCTTATTCGACCCTCTTCAATTCCTGGCACCGTTCACAGTACGAGCGAAAGTCCTGATGCATGAGTTATGGATAGCAGGTATTGGTTGGGACGAGGTGTTACCCAGTCAACTTCAAGTGAAATAAAATAAGTGGATCTCGGAACTTCCAGAGCTATCGCAGTTCACGATCCCTCGCTGCTTACGCCAACCAAATCCGAAAGAGACTGACCCGCATGTATTCTCTGATGCCTCTGAGAATGCATATGCAACGCCCGCCTATCTCGTGAGTCATTACCCCTCAAGACCACCTACATCCTTCCTCATTGCTGCTAAAAGTCGTGTATCCCCAATGAAACTACAACCATCCCTCGTCTGGAGCTGATGGGAGCTGTGCTGTCAAATCGAGTGGCGAAAAGCATTACACAAGTTCTGTCGGTTGCAACTGTTACCTTTTGGACGGACTCGACTAACGTTTTATTTTGGGTTCGCAACCAAAGTCGCAGCTTTAAGCCTTTTGTGGCCAACCGAGTGGGTGAAATCCAGAGAACGACAGACCCAACGCAGTGGGGGCATGTTCCCGGAAAGATTAATCCCACTGATCTGCCAACCAGAGGTGTCTCTGCCAAAGATCTCATCGAAAACAAGTTCTGGAAAGAAGGTCCGGAATTCCTGAAAGCGGACGAGTCAACATCGCCAGAGAAAGTACCAACGACGGTCGTTGCTGAATTCGAGCATTGCGAAGGGAAAAGGGCGTCAAAAACACATCTCATCCAGAACCCCAACGAAGATACCACGAGCGAAGTTTTTATGGACCCAACAAAATATTCTGGTCTCCAACACCTGGTCCGTGTTACAGCGTGGATATTACGGTTTGCAAGGAACTGCAAGTTGTCGAAGGAAAGGAGAGTACTAAGCGCAACACTCGCCTCAGAGGATATCACCAATAAACCACCAATAAGATCTGATGCTGAGAAATTAGTTGCTAAAACAAACGTAGATATGCGGCAAGAAACCCGAAGTGCATCACCAAAGACAGCTGGACCAAGCGATCAGACCAAAAATGATGAGAACCTCGACCTTGAGGGAAGCCACCCAGGCACTAAGCCAACAAGAGTAATAGTGGCGGGTGACTCCATGGTTAAACATGTCAACGGTTATAAGATGTCAACGAAAAGCACAAAAATTCAAGTATCTGCCTTCCCCAGAAGTACCACGTTAGATATGTCAGATTATATAAAACCGATATTAAGAAAGAAACCCGATAAGCTTATTATCCATGTCGGCACAAATTGCCTGAAAAGTCGTGAAAACTCGGAGCGCTGTGCGGAAGAGATTATTAAATTGGGCGAATCAGTAAAAAAATGCATACCAGAGACGGAGGTGGCAATCTCGAGCTTAATAACACGATCTGATGACGAGTTTCTAACACGCAAAGTCAGCGATGTTAATAAAGTCCTCAAACAAACCTGCATTCAGAAACATTGGAAATATATCGATCACACGAACATCACACCCGAGGATTTAAACCAAAGCAGAATCCATCTAAATAAAGTGGGAACAATCAAGATGGCACGCAATTTTACTGATTTTATTTATAATAGGAAACATTAGGACAACGCCGTGTGGGAGCCTGTAGCTAATACTGAAATACAGCCAAGTATAGATGACCAATCGTCGATAACCTTGAGTGAGTCAAACGAATCAAATTACTCAAATATCTCATTATATAATTTAGAAAAAATACCATTTCATCGGGGCATGTCTATGGCATGTTTGAATATAAATAGTTTATTTGCCCATTATGAGTAATAATAAAGTAGACATATTATGTATTAATGAGACCAAACTTGATTCATCAATTAATGACAATGAAATCCATATACCAAATTTTGAAATCATTCGAAGAGATCGGCGTACAAATGGTCGTCACGGCGGCGGCATTTGCATTTACATTAGAAGTAATATTAATTACAAAATACGACATAATCTACAATCTGAAACTCTCGAAAATCTAGTTGTAGAAATTAAGAAACCACGATCTAAGTCTATCCTAGTTAGTACATGGTATAGACCTCCAGATTTACCTACTAGTTACTTTGCCGAATTCGAGCAAATGATTGGATCGTTCGATGCTGAAAATTTAGAGTATTTTCTGCTTGGTGATTTAAATGTTGATTTTACCCCAACAACTGAGTCACCGAGCAAGAATAAAGTAAAAGAAATACTTGATATATACGATGTCGAACAATTAATAAACGAACCGACAAGAATTACTGCTACATCTAGCACCCTGATCGATTTATGCCTAACCAATACACCTGTAAATATTGTGAAGTCTGGTGTCATACACGTATCTATTAGTGACCATTCATTAATATATATGATACGTAAGGCTAACTATATACGAGGGGGCCCCAGAACGATAGATGCTAGAACAATGAAGAACTTCAACAGAGAATTGTTTCTAAGCGACCTTGAACTAAACCATTGGGATAGTGTCTATTGCTCCCAGGACCCTAACGAAATGTTTGATGTCTGGAAAAAAATGCTCATGAAAACCATAAATAAGCACGCACCACTTAGATCCAGGAGAATTAGAAATAGAAAATCTCCCTGGATTACAAAAGATTTAAGACGCCAGATATTTAACCGAGATTACGTAAAAAAGAAAGCTGTTACATCCAATGATCCTAAAATCTGGCATCAACATCGACAAACTCGAAATCACATTAATAATGAAATTAAAAAAAACTAAACAAGCTTATTATAAGAATAATCTTGAATCGAGTAAAGGCAACATGAAAAAAACATGCATGGAACCTTATAAATGAACTAAGCTCTAGAAATGTAAGCAAAACTAAAAAGATATCACAATTAGATTTTGAAGAGCGGGAAATAACTGCACCTGAAGAAATAGCTGAAACATTTAACAGCTACTTCTCAGGTATTGGTGAAAAACTTGCTTCCGATATTCCTGATCCTGTGCGTGATCCAGTATTTTATCTTAAACCAACTGATAAATAAATCTTTCTCTCTCAAAACTCCCTCCGTTAATACAGTTTATCAACTGCTGACTACATTATAGATGATAAGAAGTCAGCTGGTTTGGACAATATACCAAACAAATTCCTAAAGATAGCTGCAAGTGTTATTGCACCCTCGTTAACAGGAATATTCACTGCATCTATTAATACCGGAATATTCCCGTATGAATGGAAGGCAAGCAGAGTAACGCCAGTATTTAAGAGTGGCACAAGAAATAACCCAGGCAACTATCGGCCTATATCAATTATTCCATGTGTTGCTAAAATTTTTGAAAAAATCATTTTCGATCAACTACAATAACTACATGGGTATCTTGATTCAAATAATTTGCTGAACACATGCCAATCTGGATTTCGACCGTTCCACAGTACCCTAACAGCGTTGCTAGAAGCCACAAGCGACTGGTCCATGAATATTGACAATGGCCTAATTAACGGAGTTGTATTTATTGATTTAAAGAAAGCTTTTGATACGATCGATCATCAAATTATCCTACAAAAGCTTAAAAATTATGGTATTGACGAAAACAGTCTTACTTGGTTTCATTCATACCTCACTGATAGAACTCAAAAGTGCCGGGTAAACGGTCAACTGTCAGATTCTGTGCCAGTGGCCTGCGGTGTACCTCAAGGTAGCAGCCTAGGGCCATTGCTATTCCTCATCTACATTAATGATTTACCGAACTGTCTTGATCATACAACTGCAAGAATGTTCGCAGATGATACAAGTATTAGTTATGCGTCCGACTCTGCCAAAGAGCTCCAAAATGTCATTAACACCGAATTGAAAGGTCTAAGCGATTGGCTAACCACTAATAAACTAAGCTTAAATATTGTAAAAACAGAATTCATGGTAGTTGGATCTAGACAGAGAATAAAAACACTAAATAATGAAATAGATATTGAGATAAACGGTAATATGGTCAACCAAGTTACTTCGGTAAAATCTCTGGGTGTCCATCTTGATAATCACCTTATGTGGTCTGAGCATACTGACAAACTATGTAAAAAAATTGCTTCAGCCATAGGGGCTTTAAAACGTATAAGATCCTGCATTTCAACGAACACGGCTATCCAAGTATACCAAGCACTGATTCAACCTCATTTTGACTACTGCTGCTCGGTCTGGGATGGTCTTGGCGAAACGCTAAGTTCTAAACTACAAAAATTACAGAACCGGGCGGTCAGGGTCATTACGAGGTCCAGCTATGACACTAATGCTACTGTGCTTCTTGATACTTTACACTTGGATAACTTATCGTTGAGACGCAAAAAACTTAAAGCTGGCTTGATGTTCAAAACACTCAAAGGTGACACACCTACCTATCTACAAAATCTTTTTTCAGTTCGTGGCTCAGAATATAATCTTAGGAACTTTGAAATGAAATTAAATCTACCCAAGCCACGAACTAATTATCTGAAGCGAAGCTTTCAGTACAGTGGAGCAGTGCTGTGGAATAGCCTTCCCGAAAATATAAGAATGCTCCAATCGTTTGCTCAGTTCCGGAAAGCTGTAAACAAGTATTATAATAGTTTAGATGAACTCCCACACGGCAATCTTGTAAACCAGTAGATCATATTCTTTTATTTATTTTTGCATGCTTAAACTTGTATATATTTATATACTGAAGATTCCACCGTGGATAAATAAATTTTTATTGTATTGTATTGTATTGTATTGGTTGAAATGTGATATCTTGTAATTTACAACTTCCGCTTTAATGTTGTGTTTTCAAGGCCCGCCAAGGAGTGACTGTAAGGCTATGAGAAGTGACTTCAACTGTAATATGCAAAAACATTCAACATGTGTTATTTTTCTTATTTGTCTGCATTTTTCTATTGTAAATATTTTGTATGCAAACACTATTTTGAAGCCCAAGGTTATTTGCTTGGAAAAGCTGTCCTTCGGCGTGTATATACTGGCAATTTTTCCAACCGGTAATATGGCGAGTCGCTGACTTACCAGCTTTTGCCTTTGATGCTTTTCGCTAAAAGAGCGTTAGAAGAATGTCCAACTCATGACCTTTGTGTAAATGAGTAATGTTGCTCGTTACAGTATATCGCGAACGCGCCTTTGATAAACAATCCAGCTCGAAAATTATGTGCGATAAAACTCAGAGTATCAGCAATAAATGTTTTTCAGCAGCCATTAAAATATGACAACGAAGAGATTGATTGCGATTGTAGCTGAAATTGACCAAAAGACAAAACTAATTCTACATGTTACTTTTCAATCCATTATATTGTTATCTCAATTTTGTTCACTTGATGCCAAACGTAGTATATTGCGTGTTAATAACGTACCAGTCGTTATTGCATGACTGCTACAGCATATAAACTTCACCGAATGCACATAAAAGAATCACTTGGCTTGAATAATTGCTTTGAGTTGGTTGCAAATTGTGAGCGAAAGAATATCTTTTACGAAAAGGCATTCAGATACAAGCACTGATATTGATGCCTTGGCTGACATTTGCAGACCAATTTATGCTGTAGTGTATGCAAAACACAATGACAATGTTTATGTGTTGAGTGTAGTTTCGATATGAAAAGGGAATGCTATTACCTGATTAGACAAATATTTTTGGGCCTGTGAAATATTCTTGACTTTGTACCAAATGAATACACAATTAATCACAAATGTGAATTTTGTTGAACTCAGTATTTTTAAAGTGGGCACAAGTTGCACTCTCGCATATATATATGTCATTATTTACATATATAAACTCAATTTACTTCATGCACAGTACAAGATAGAGATAGATAGTGATAGTGTATTTAAAATTCACCTTGCAGCTGGACAGCTGAATTGCGTGATTTACAAGAGTATATAAAACATTATTTAAAAGATAGAATATGGGTTAATTAGGCATATTTACAAATGGTCATTAAAACGCTTAGTACTAAAAATTACATTAACTTAAGTTACTAGACATAGGAATAAAAGTTTTTTTAAATCTTTCTGTATTAGTTTTGAATCTTTCAAAGAGTCTATTGTTCCTAAGTTGGTAAACCGACTCATGTTTGGGAGGCAGTAAATTATGCAGTTTGTGTGTCGGATTGTTAGTAATATTTGTGAAAAGTTTGTTACACATTTCTTCGCGTCTTTGGAACAAAGTTTGAAGATTAAAATATTCTAAAGTTTCGCTATATGAGTTCGCGGGTAAAATGATCTTCAGTGCTCGCTTTTGTACCGTCTCAAGATCTTCTGACAGGAAGGATGGGATTGAGTAATGGAAAACCGGGGCACAATATTCCAAAATGGGCCTGATAACTGTACAGTAGAAGTTTACAATGTCTTTCGGACTGACTTTTGCGCGCTTAAGTAAGATAATGAAGTGAAGACGTTTCTTAGCTTTTTTGATGACTTCGTTAATGTGGTTAGTCCATTTAAGGTTACTAGAGATGGTGAGGCCTAGAATTTTAGCGTTTTGGACAACCGGCAATTTCTTCCCGTAAACTGTAAGAGGGTCGAAGTTCTGTTTCGTGGATTTAAAGTCGATTTGGAGTTCTTTACATTTATCTGCATTAAGAAGTAATCTGTTGGAATTCGACCAGTTTTCTACTGTGGTAACTGCGTCTTGGGCTTTGCTGGTATCGCCTTTTTTAACAACCTCAGAAACGGTTGTATCATCGACATACTTACAAGTAGATACTTCAGTGATTTTAAGATCATTGATCATCCATAGAAAAAGCCATGGCCCAAGTTTCGTGCCTTGAGGGACACCAGCCGGGACAGCACCCCACGCTGAAACGCAGTCGGTTGCGAGTTTAACTCTTTGTTTTCTGTCCAATAGAAAATCAATAGTCCAGCGTACGACTGCCTTCGGAATTGGTAATCTGGAGATCTTATCAGCGAGTATACAATGGTCAATAAGGTCAAAAGCTTTTTTTATATTCGAACAGGGCTACTCTGACTGCTGCGCCAGTGCCATCAGTACAAAAACCCATACAGCAGTGCAAGAACAAAATTCTAAATTGAATATATATGTCATATTTATACAGTATATTGTAACCATACAGCTATTTCAATTAAAGATGTCACAGACAAATAGTCAGATGTACAATAATATGAGTGCTAAATGAATAATGGGAATGATAGTTTTCAATAAGTTTAAACCTCAAATATATTATGAATACCAATTTAATTTGTATTCCCGTGAGGCTATTGATGTGTTAAAATAGGATCTTTTTTAGCGTTCAATTGTACATTTAACTATTGTCTGTGACACTAACCTTAATTGGAATAGTTGCATTATAACATAGGACAAGTGCAAATTGTGCATCTATTAATCCTTTCAAGCTAGGGTAGTCTTGGTAGCCTGTGCTACAGCCATACATTTCATTGTTGCTTATTCGTGCAAGTGTTACAGAATACAGTATTCACAGTCATAATTCCTCTTCATCTTCTGATGTGTTGTCCACTGGTACGCGTGCTTGGTGAATGTTCCTCTTGTGTTTGTTTAGCTATAGTCATCAAATGCAGCGACAATTCGTTTATAATGTTGCTAATGTATCTGATGATATATCTGTGAAGAAACCTTCATGAAAGTGATCATATACCGTATTGTTGATTGCAAATGGTTTCAATTCCAAGAGATCAGATAAAATAACATTTTCTCCGAAGATTTGTGCTTGTGAGAGGATGCCTTCTTGACTTAATTCCTACAGCTATGTCGAAGTTGTTTATCATTTCTGCAGATCGATATTCCTCCAGTCTCTATATGCATACTTTAATATTAAACATTCGATTGGCTTCACTGTCTTGGGTGTTTTTTTGGACCCCATTCTTTTAATTTAATGTTAAGTTTAGGAAGATAAGAAAATCCGTCATCGGTCATCACACGCACGAGTTCCACAATTCACAAATTCTGCGATACGAAGCAGGTTTTTATTTCGCTATTCAGCTAGCTCTAAGAATAGGTTGTTGCAATACTACTTGTCGATAATACTACCACAAAGGCGACACTTGCATTCCGAAAACAAAGCGGATTTCGGGTAAATAATCTTTGGAGTTTCCTTTCGCTGTGCCATAGCTTGAGAGCTACTGAATACTGTACTTTGACTTTGTATAAGTGTGCATTCGACTTTTATTTCCTTTGCGTTGATAAATAATGGCTCCACTTCAAGGTGTAAAACAGACCTCCAGCCATGCAAATTAAGTCAAGTAGGTGTAAAAAGCTTTCAAGCGCCAGGCGGTGACATATTTCATAAAAGATAACACAAAAACCGACAAAACCCAAAATATGGGTTAATACAGAGCGTAAATGGCCGTATTTTCCATAGGCATATTTATAAATGTTTTCGTTTTCGCTCTTGAATTCCCCCTACCACTCCTCCCCAAGTGGCAAAGAGGCGGCAATTCGAATTACCCCTAAAATGTGGGGATTCACGTGACCAGAGGGAACCAGGGTCTTCGCCGGAGCCCGAGCGCAGGGCTTGCGAGGTTGCCATAGACCATTTCAAAAGAGCGAATGTGTGAAGGAGTGTAACACTAACAGTACAGCGTGACTCGTAACAATGAATTTTATACGAAGTGGCTATATTTATGGGCCCGTAAACGGACTTTGCCAGGCTATATTTACGCCCCCCCCCCCTCTACCCCCAACCCTAACCACTCAGGAATTAAAATTTAGTTTGGAAACAAATTCAAACATATGAAAAAAATGGATCAAGGGGCGCACGCCGGTACTACTGAGCTAGTGACATAAGGCACCCTGGCAAAGTCCTGCAAAGTCCAGCCTGGCAAAGTCCATCTACGGGCCCGTACATATAGCCACTTTGAATTTTATATTACAGTATATATAAATATATAGAGTTCACTGCTCCGCGTAAACAATACAATGAGCCAACCTCGCAAGCCAGGGTCTTTTACTTACGCTCGGGCTCCGGCGAAGACCCTGGTTCCCTCTGGTCACGTGACCTCCTAAAAATTAGGACAACAAGAGGTCCTAGGGGAGGGTGGTTGAAATGTGATATGTTGTAATTTACAACTTCCGGTTAAATGTTGTGTTTGCAAGGCCCGCCGAGGAGTGACTGTAGAAAAGCTACAAGAAGTGACTTCAACTGTAATATGCAAAAACATTCAAAATGCATTATTTTTCTTATTTGTTTGCAGTTTTCTATTATAAATATTTTGTATGCAAACACTATTTTGAAGCCCAAGCACTTATTTGCTTAGAAAAGCTGTCCTTTGGCGTGTATATACTGGCAATTTTTCCAATCGGTAATATGGCGAGTCGCTATTAATTTACCAGCTTTTGCCTTTGATGCTTTTCGCTAAAAGAGCGTTAGAAGAACGAAATGTTACGAAATGATTAAAAAAATCAAAACTTCTACAATATGGCAATAAACAATAGATAATGTGTGAACGGATATTCAAACTATACAGAGTTTTCAGGAATCGATATTTAGCGATTACTTTAGTTACTCTTTACCTAACTCTCTTTTCACCTATATTATGTAGAGAATAATACATGGATGCGCGGAAATACCAGATTTATTTCGAGTGTTGAACATGATATCTCACGAGTGAGCGCAGCGAACGAGTGAGATATCATGTTCAACACGAGAAATAAATCTGGTATTTCCAAGCATCCATGTATTTTTCTGTTTATTATATAAAGGACAGTCTTTTCAAACAAAATAAAATAAAATATCCATTTTCACAACATTAAATGCTTTATTTAATAAAATTGGTGATTGGTTGAAAAGCGATAATTTTCACATGTGAGATTACCAGTTTTATCAGTGCTCGAAATCTCTATAAAGCACTATACTTTATATAATAAATTATATTATTAACCTTTTATTAACGGCATTAGGCTTCAGTTAACCTGATTGTCAGGCCTTTGAGGCTTCAGTATTCAGTAATTAGCACACTGTAATATATTCACAAACTGAAATCACGAAATGTCACTCAGAGACCTCTGCTCTGAGACAATACAAAGGAATGGCAGTAAAGAGACCAATTTTATCATCAATATTAGACAGTAAGGCCGCCATTGGCGAGCAAGGCTTAAAACTACTATGTTTGGATTGGTTCTTTGAGGTCTTTTGGGTTAATATGTTCAAATACTCATTGCGTGTTATTTTGAGAGTTGAGGTAATGTAAAAGGCCTACTCTGGGGTGGTAAATCGCTGCGATATAATGCGATTTTGGGCGATTTTAGGCGATTTAAGGAAAAACTGGGACTTTCAAGCACTGCGATTTAATGCGATTTTAGGCGATCTAAGGCGATTTAAGAATTTTTTTTTAAATTTTAGGGATTGCAATTTAGGTGTTTTCAAAGGAATTGAATTTTATATTTTGCTCCGGTTTCCTCCCACAGGGCAAATTGGCAGGGTGGGTTAGGATTAACACAGTTAGGAAAGTAATATCATATCCTCATTGTTGTAAAGATAAATAGTCTAGGCTAACATAAGTAATCATAGTACTTGATGTAATCGGTCACTGAAAAGCCCCAATGTGGGGAGTGAGCTGAATAATAATGTAATCTTCCACACACATGTGCATTGTATGAAGCAAAATACAATTATTAGAACATGTATGTATATTTTATATAAAGCTAGGTTAACTAATTATTGTATTTAACCTGATTCACATATAAAGCTCAATATTCATGAACTTTTCATCCATTCTCTATTTAGAAGCCATTGGGGTTCATCTTGTGGGGATCATGTGGTCATTCATGGCTACATTATATATCACAAATATTGTAAACAGTTAATAGACACTACTTAAGGGGCATGCACTACACATGTCTTAAACTTTAATATTATTACTTTATGTCTAGTTAAAATTGCAAAATATAATAAATATTTGATTTCCAAAACACAAGGGGTAGGGGGTAGAAACACACAATGTATTTATACAGTATATAACTGAATAAGCTATAATCCTATAAATTTCCTTGTCACCCTTGTAAGTAAAATTGTCTTGTTTTGTATCATGTCAAAACTTCTTTATTTAGCTTGCATTTTATTTAAACTGTTTTAATCTCGTGCTTTGTTCATGCTACAAACATATTTATAAAGTAGTTGGAAACTGTCGGCGTAATGCCGTAATGTTAAAATTACATGAAGTATATCGTATATAAATTAAAAACAAAACAATACAGTGTTAATTTACAAATGGCGCACTACATCGTGGTTTTAGGTTCTGCAAACAAACAACAACAACAAAAGATCTATTGTGTGGTATGTACGATGTAATCATTGTTTTACTGTTTATTGTATATACAGGTCTGGAAAATTTAATAGACGAGAGTTGCAAATCGCTCATAACCTCACGTATATTTTTCGTTTGATAGTCACTATAATTATAACTAGGAGCTAGAGTATAACCATGCACATGTCGAAGTACAACCATTGTATACAATGCAGTGCTCGATGTTACATGCAACAGTGCACAAATTACACGATGACTTTATTATATAAATCAACACTCGTACTCATTGACTTTCGTAGTCTCCTATACTGTTGTTCTAATTAACAGCAATTAGGCTTGGAGAAGTCATGCAGATTATAGATTAATTTGTAGCCCAGCCTCCATAGTCCATATAAATTGTAGCCCAGCCTCCATTTACACCAATAATGAAATTAGCTCATTCTGGTAACTAGCTCAATTTTGTTGCTGGTAGTGTATGGGATCTATGGGTCTTTCAGATCCCAAAATTACCTAATTATTGTAAAGGCTCTGTTTTTGTCAATGACCGGTGCCTGTTGGGTGACCAAATATTGTCAGCCTAATCCACTTATTTGATTGCTAATTCATGTTACATTACTTTTGATTGCAAAGCACCTGGATTACATGATTTGCCCGTAAAATAGCAGCAATTGATAAACTTGAGCATGTGGACTGAATGTATCAAGCAGAATGCATGTTGGCGATTTTAAGCGATTTTAGGCGATTTGAGAGAAATTTGACAATTTTAACCCGCGATTTAATGCGATTTAGGGCGATTTAAGGCGACTTACCGCTCCAGAGTAGGCCTTGTAAACACGACTTAACCCCAAATTTTAACCGCTCCTCCGCTGCGCTTAGTCGTTTGCCCAAACAATTCTTTACATCAATCGAAGGCATTTTATTCATTTACTCAACATGCTAAAGCTTGATCAATTCAAAGGATTATCACATGGTGAAAAATTATTTTCTTTATAATTTTAACGAGGTGAGAGTTTGACCTCCAAGGTCGACTCGAGGTCATGTAAACACGATTTTACCCACAATTTGAACAGCTCTTGTGCAGCATTCAGTCGTTTGCCCAGAGAAATATTTATATCAATCGAAAGCATGTTTATCATTTATTCAGCATGCTAAAGCCTAATCAGTTTAATGGTTTATCACATGGTGAAAATTAATTTTCTTTGCGACATACTTTTAGCGAGCTGAAATTTATACCTTGGGAATAAAATTATTTCTGATCTTACAATTAAAACAAACTTGCTCAAAATCACTTAAACGTATGTTTAAACACCAAACTACAAGATTATAGGACAATTTAGCCTTTTATACTTATTTTCGTTGTATACGAGGCGATCAAATATGGCATAGATATCGCTTCGTAAAACGAAGATTTCAGCAGCTTGGCCTAAAATTGCGATTTCTCAAATACTAAAATATATTTCTCGAAAAAACTTTTCACAGTTTTTTATCCTATCATAGACTATGTTGAGGCAAAGTTTGAGCGCAATCGAATTTTTTATTTTTGCCGTCGATTTTCGAAATTGCTTGTTTTTTCCTGACATCGGCTCTTAATAGCAGACAATATCAAACAAATTCACCATAGGCATTTAAAGATAGCACGATTTTACAAGTTTTCGTAACGAACTGACTAAGATGCGAATGATTTTCTAGCAACGATTCTCACTTTGTGTTCTAAAAGAGCCAATGAGATATAGATTTATTTACAGTTTTGTAGTGAGCTTCGTTCAAAAACGAACTTAAAAAGGGATATCTGCAAAGTTAACCGATTGTAATTAAGAAAAATGGTTTCTTGTACCCATATGGATATAAAATGTAAGATAAGTAAAATTTATAGTAACGCGAATCAGAGTTTTAGACCGAGAATCGTTAGTGAGCATCGTGTAATTTGAGACGTACGAAATTTGACTACTGTCTGCTTTATGAACTGTGCTATAAATCTTATACTGCAAATGAAACTTAGCTTGGAAATGGCCCCAGTTCTCAAGTATAAGTTGTAAAAGGCGAAAACAATGCATATTTATTTGTCTTTCCCCCCAGTTTCATATGTTGTGAGATGAGATTTAAACCTACTCGACTCACAAACAGATTATTTCTGAATAGTTCGGTTCCAGGTTCGTCGTAATTATGGCCTTTTGCATCATCATTCCAAAGACAGCATGTAACTTTTGAGTAGATTTCCGCGGATTTTTCACAAGGAAGATAGCGATGATGATATTAGACGTGAATATAAATGTGCTTATTAAGCATTATAGCTAGTAGCACACGTACCTGTATTGGTACAGTATATACAGTGTTAAAAATAACCCCTCCCCCCGGAATGAATGATAGTATCTAAAACTACCAAAACTTTGCCCACATATGCTTTGCTACTGGAATACATGTTATTCGGCAGTATAAACTTAGAACTAAAACGTTTAATTACCAACTTCCAAACACGATTGATGACCACCAAGACAATCTTTGCCAGAAACTATGGGACAGCTGCTGTAATTTCATATAATTTGAAAGGAATAGCGCCCGCCGTTCCCCCAGTTCAATGTTGGGCCAACAAAAATCTGATGTCTGGATGCGCGACGCCAACATTGAAACGGGTGGGGGGAGGGAGGGTGGAAAATATGTATCAGGAAATGGTATATTGCAACCGAATGCAGGTGAAAACTTGATTGTCCCAATCTATATTGTGAAAGATTGTAGTTTTATATGGCTAACCCTGCTTATGACGTCACTAAAATCACCGATGAGATAAAAATTAATCCAAGACGGCGGTCAGCAAATTATTTTAAGTCAAAATATTTCAAGAAATAATAAAGTTACGCATAAGTTCTATTCTCGTGTTTATCCAGTTTAATACGCTCTTTGAATTAACCTTATCATTAATGATAATATGTAAACTAGAACACTATAATTGACCTCCGCTTGTGGAGATTTTAATTTAGGGCGATTAATTAAACTGAAATCTGTTCTATCACGATGCATATTACATGCATGTCCTCACAAATGTCTAGTGTAACGTTGGATAGATTCATTGTCATACGGTCCCAACAAGCAGCAACGTAGTCTTCCAGCCGAAAATAATTACTTTTGATTCGGGTCAGTAATTATAATAGATAATTACTGAGGCCAAACGGCATTATCCGATATATTGCAGCCAGCTGAGGCCGAAGGCCGAAGCTGGCTGCAATATATCGAATAATGCCGTTTGGCCGAAGTAATTATCTATTAATTAATCACACGTTGTCACTGAAGGATACACTGTATCACCATTAAATACCTGCAGAAACATTACTTCAAACCATCACAAGACCACAACTGCACAGTGAGTGCGGTATGTACTATTTAAAACACGAGCAGGCGAGTGCTTTAGCAGATATAAAAGACGAGAACGCAGCTCCAGTGTTTTATAATTATTATCTGATAAAGCACGGACTGTGAATGTTTTAAATGGCTTAAACGTAAAAGCCTGATTCACATACATGGTGTCCCCAAAAACCCCAAAACGATTGAAATAACGTATTGTTAGAATTTGAATGCCTCAGCACTCTGCTGAACCCACAAGTGCATAAAAGCTTGACATCATTGCTTGACATAAGTAAATTTTATGCCTAAAGAAACTGTACAATTAAGAAGCTGCTTTAAATTCACAAGAGCAGAAATCGTGAGCTTTACGAAGATATTTTAATCTCTTAATAAGTCAATATTTAGTATACATGTACATGTATGTATACCCTCTCAATATTTTACGCAGTTTTCTTCACTTAGTCTAGGCATGCAGATTCTAACAATATGTTATTTCAGTAGTTTTGAATTTTTTGGCACCCTGGGCAGTATGTATTGTCGTAACTTAATTTAAAAGTCATAAAGTTACCTGCATCTGACATCAAAATAAAGCCGCGTTCTTCGAAATA